TATATATATATATATATATATATATATATATATATATATATATATATACCTGAGCAAAAATTGAATCTAGTGATTGTCTAATAATGACACAGAAAAGTTGCGTCTTACATCGCTACTAGCTGGTAGTACTTGCTATCTACTAGCTAAGAATGTAACGCTCACTTCTCCTAGTGGTTGTACTAGAAAAATTAGCTAGTAGCTAGATACAAAAAAATAACTTGTAACTATCTAGCCTGCACTAGACAGTGAGTAGATAGCAAAAACGAAAAAATTATTTCTCTTCGATAATTTTCCTTTCTCTCTCTCTTTATCTCTTTAGAGGAGAGGTGTGATTCAATAGAGTTTGGTTTTCTGTTCTTCTTCATTACGTATTATTTCCATTCTACTGGAAAAATTCATTTTATACTTCGGGACTTGAAACCTGAAAGATCTTTGGCTCTTGAGTCTGGCACTTTACTTGCTAGACCACTACTATAATCACTAGTAGACGTTTTATATTAGCTACATATGGTTTACTCAACGCTGTTTTATCTAATGTCTAGATGAAAAAAATTACACAGTGACGAGATGGAAAATTCAGTAAATCCTAAATAGAAGTTGAATATCAAATGCTGTTTAATAACTGTCTAATGGCAATGTACTGTAAATCCAGAATAAAAATTAGATGTCAAAACTGTTTATCCATTAGATAGTAAATTTATGTATTACATCGTCATTATTTATAAACAAATTTACTATCTAGTGGATAGACAGTTTTGATATCCAATTTCTATTCAGGATTTACCCGTGATTTTCTATCTCGTTATTGGGTGCGTTCAGCGAACTTAATAGTTGCACAACAGTTGAGTAATTCGTCAATTGGTTTAGATTTAGGGATCTAACAGTAAGAACCAATAATCGCTGATTGTTCACTGAGCGCTTTTTCCGCTGAACGCGCCCATTGTGTAATGTTTTTCGTCTAAGCACTGTAAATGATATAGCTATTAGACAATTCTGATGTCCAATCTGTACTCAGGATATATCGATGAATTTCTATCTCGTTACTGTGTAATATTTTTCATCTAGCCACTATTTATATAATTGGTATAGTTACTAGACAGTCCTGACATTCAAAAGATTGCGTAAGAATATTTAGCCAATCACGAGCTAGTGACTGGCTAGAAAATTTACCTAGTCATTACTATCTAGCTACTAGTCTTGAAATCTACTCTACTAGATATATTTTTGCTCGGGTATATTTAATTATATATACCATATTCTTTTTTTATCACTACTCTAAATATGAAGTAACAATAATATAATATCAATATAATAATTTCTCATTTAACAAGTGTAATATAACATATCTGTACTTATATCTGCTTGCTTTCTAACATATTATATTTGCTTTCCAGTAAGATACATGTAACACAAAGTGATATAAAACAATACAAAGGTGTTCAATACAGTGCTAACAGTAATGCAACATAACACAAATATGCGTTCACTGCCTATACATCATCACGCTTCAATTGGCTTTCGTTGTTCATTTTTAATGGACGTAGGATTCTTATGTCAAATGCCAATTATCGTATAACCATAAAAATTAAAGTCACTATAAGAAATTCTACTTTGTACATAATATGCGAGCGTAGTATTACATTATTTTTCACATTTAAACTGCATCGCTTGATGCTTAAAAATTTTCATGGAAACTTACACAATTTACATATAAAGAAGAACATCTACGAGCAAACTGAAAGCTCACGTGAAATATTTCACGTTTTGAGAATTCACCTTTCACGGTTACGTTCGTCTCATTTATTAAATTTACTCATATTGTATTATTATATTATATTATGACTATAAATTTAAGTTGTATAATGCTTATTAATATGTTATATGTTACATTGTGTATATTGTAATTACATTTTAATTTTAATAATTTATATTACATAAATATTGCTTTCCACATTTTCATTGTTCACTTTTTATGTGAAATAACTTACAGTGAAAAGTGAAAAATGAAAATAAAGTTCACGTGAAAAATGTATGATCGCTACCCTGACCTCCATGATGACCCTTTGTGAGAACGTAGAACGGATTGAGGTGAGCAAGTCCTGTACCGTTTTACGATATTCGCAATAATTTTCGAGAAATTAATTATTTTGTCTCAGCTCGAGGATTTGATACACTAACACATGTACATGACATATCTGTGTGCCGAATCGACGCCGAATCTAAAAGTGTGTTGCCGCTTCGTTGTTTCATCTCTATATACACGTGTATAACCGAAGCAACGACACAGCATCGATTTGGTTTCGATTCAGCACACGGATATGTCATGCACATGTATTAGTGTATCAAACCACGCTGTGTTTCGTAGCTATGGGCGGAAAGACGCAGTGAGTCGCGATTCGCGTGTATCACGATCGCGCGCCGGTCGAAGACATCTTTCTTTCAGCTACCGCTTCTTCTGCTCTCATTAGCTGAGACAAAATAATTAATTTCTCGAAAACTATTACGAATATCGCAAAACGACACAGGACTTTTTTGCTCACCTCAATCCATTCTTACAAAGAGTTATCATGGAGGTCTGAGACACCCTATATATAATAGGTGTTAATGCAAAAAATATCAAACTGAGAAATAGCAAAAATATCAAAGAAAATTTAATAACTTTTCATATCTTTTGTGTGCTAATAATAAAATTTCCAATTAAATATTTCCATTTTAATATTTTAACTTTCACTTACAAGGAAACGGTCGGGGGCGTCCCTCACCGAATTTGATGAGCATTGGATATGTTGTAGAGCATCAAAAAACATTAGACACGTATTTTTTTTTATGTGCTTATCTCGAGGTTTAGGGGTTGAAACCACCCCTTGAAAAAAACGGACTTTTTCATTTTTATTTAATATTTCCTAAAATATGAGGTATATGAAAAAATATTTCAGACAAAAGTTTTACAGTATCTTATGCCCTTTCCATCGGTCTATTCAAATTTTTTTAAATGCAATATTTCCCCCCCCCCCTCCCTCTCCCCTTCGTCACCTTTGCAAATTTTTAAGTTTTTGTAAGGACAAAAATTAAAAAGCATTTCATGCCAAATCCATCGATATATAATAATAGTATGGTTCCTCGATTCAATTCTTGGCAAAACTACATGACTGATAACTTCGCGTTATAGGCACCGCGTTGTGCGAGTAGGTAAGTACTGTACGTTGCGTTGGATTACTTCTCTTCACTTGCGCTATGTTTTATAACTACTTGCGCATATTTTCTCATATTACAAGATAAAAACGAATTAATTCTAATCATATGATATGTAATATACGAAATAAAGACGTAAGCAGAGATAAATATGCTTATGTAACAACAGTAGCAATTGTGCGCGGCGTCGGCTATATAGAACGTAATACAATCGAATGATTCTATTTTTACTAATCACGATCACATGATTCTGTTTCTATGCGGAAAATGATTGCAAAATATATTAATATGAGTGACTTAATATTGTTACTGAAAAACTATGACGCACTAGTTGACCTTGTTTTTGCACTGCACAGATGGTATATGAAATATTTTCTTACATATATGCTTAATCACTTAAGAATATATCTGAAGTACAGTCGTCGATAAAAATATCCGAGTTTCATTTAAGAAATTCGTTACCTTTAAAATTTCTTGAAAACGACATCTACCACATGACTCACATTGGAATCTATGTCCCCCTTAAACCATACAACTTTTGTCTAAAACGTTTCCTTCTAAAACTTACAGGTTTTGAGATATTTGAGTGCATTAATTAAAATGAGTCACCCTGTATATTGTTGTTTTGAAGATCGCAAACGTCGTGCCAAACGACGTTCAGGAATAGAATCATGCGATCGTCATTGGTAAAAATAGATTGTATATACATACCATATAGCCACTATATAAATGTCCGTTGTACCGGAAGACTGACATTTTAACTCGTGAGTTGACAAAGTAAAGAGTTGTGCGTTGTGATAATTGTGCAATTATAATTATAGTTATTAATTTTGGATACACATACATGTGTGCCATGTGTAATTAAAGTATTGTATTATTGTAACTCATCATTTTCTATCACTTTTTACGTAATTCTCTGACTTTGTATCTAAAGAATCATTTGCTAATAAAATGTTGTGATTGATGTTTCGACGAATATTTAAAAGGTACTACTAAAATTGTTATAAGTTGATAAATTTTATTTTTTTGTTTATTTAAAATTTCATAACACCTATGTGATCTATCTCTCTATATCTTTTATAAAGCTGTTTCTCCATTATCACGACATTGATTTATTTTAGATTCACTACATATTTTTGGTATCAACAAAGAGAAGCAAAAGAAGCGGCATTAGAACTAACAGAAGACCACTGCATTTATTATAAAGTATATATTTTTTTTTTATATAATCACAGTTCAAAAGACATACTTTATTTTAATATTTTTTATCAGAATGATGCAATTTAATGCCTTGAACGTTATTACGTTGCTTTATGCAACTTTCAATGTTCTTAATCCTCCACAAAGTCCAATAACTCTAAAGGAAATTGAAATGAACGAGAAGATTGAATATATGTTGAGAGAAGTAGAAAATGATAATGAATTTGAAATAGAACAGGAGGATACTTTAGATTTTTACAATACATATGAAGTTCCAGAAGCAGAAAATGTTGATTTATTACAAGAAAATGAAGGGCAAGAATATCTTCCAGAAGAAGTTATTTGCGCTTCCGTTGAAGCAAGTATATCACATGACTATAAAAAACAAGCAATAGATTATTGGAAGAGCGGTAAAACAGGAGCAAGATCGCTTGAAGGAGTTAAAAGAAGATTTAGAAAGGTAACATCTATACGACAATTACGACGGTGGGACAACCAAGTAAATGAAGGCGGTAGTAGAACAGAAAAATTAAAAAGGATATCTCAATACACACTAAATCGCTTCAATGAAGCACTTGAAAAAGGAATGATTATTCATGACATTGACATCGCTCGATGGGCATCTCGAGCGCAAGAAGAAGAAAATGTGGACAAATTCAAAGCTTCAATGACGTGGGTAAAAAGATTCAAAATTGCATATAATATTGTGTCTCGGAAAATAACCAAATTTGTCACGAAAAAATCCTTATTATCAAAATCAAATTTTGAAAATAAATGCAATACATTTATTGAAAACGTAAAATATTACATTGGTAGATATGGATTAGAAAATATTTATAATTCTGATCAGAGCGGATTTCAGTTAGAATTTCATTCCGGTCGTACGTTATCACATAAAGGCACAAAAAAGATAGAATCTGTAGTACAGTCCATATCAGCAACTACGCATAGTTATACTATACAGCCGACAATTTCAGCGGATGGTAGATTATTGTCTCCGCTTTTCATTGTTTTAAAGGAAGTAACAGGAACATTTGGTCCTAGAGTACAGGAAACTATGTTCAAAGCGCCTAATATTTTTGTTACGGCTTCTACATCAGGAAAATTAACGTCAAATCATGTAAAAACCTGGTTGAAAGAAGTATTTTTTCCGAATGTTGGGCCACAATCTGTATTATTATTAGATTCTTGGAGTGGGCATTGTCCCAACATAATAGCGGAAACTAGAACAGATTATGCAACAGATATTGTTTTTCTAACAATTCCAGCCGGTACAACAGGACAAATACAGCCATTAGATGTATACGGCTTCCGATTATGGAAAAATTTTATTAGACATTTTTCTGATACTGTTTTATTGTTAAATCTTGCAATTGAACTTCATACTAGAAATAATATTTTGAAATTACAATCATTAACGCACCATCAATTCTCGTCGCCTAGGTTTCAAAGTTTATTTCGATATGCATGGTTTAAAAGTGGATATGTAGAGATTAGACCAACAGAGTTTCAAACACCGGTTGAATTTTGTTTCCAAAGGGATTCGAAAGTAAATTGCGATATTTGTGGCGAAACTGCCATAATTACTTGTTCTTGGTGTAAAAAATCGCTTTGTATTACACATTTTTTCCATGATCATCATCTTTGTAACGAATATGTGCAATAAATATAATACATTATCCGTTCATATGCAAATTCTGTACTGTTGCTTTAAAATATATTGTTAAATAAATATTATTGTCAAATATTGTTCTACTACAATTTATTATTCCTTTCTACTTTGTTTCCTTATATTACTATTCCATAATTTATCCGGAGTTCTCTGTTATCTTTAGCAATTAGTAATTATATATTGTATATTCACATTACACGCTTTCTCTCTCTTGCAAAAGTAATAGAATATGTGTTTCTTTTATTTCATGCATTACAATTTTATTTTAACCTGCCTTGATCTTGTATCAATTTACTTTGCAGTAAACATATTTAATATACATTGAAAACTTCTGTACAAATTGCGACGCCGCGCACATTTGCTACTGTTGTTATATATGCTTACTGTTGTTTATCTCTGCTTACGTCTTTATTTCGTATATTACATATCATATGATTAGAATTAATTCGTTTTTATCTTGTAATATGAGAAAATATGCGCAAGTAGTTATAAAACATAGCGCAAGTGAAGAGAAGTAATCCAACGCAACGTACAGTACTTACCTACTCGCACAACGCGGTGCCTATAACGCGAAGTTATCAGTCATGTAGTTTTGCCAAGAATTGAATCGAGGAACCATACTATTATTATATATCGATGGATTTGGCATGAAATGCTTTTTAATTTTTGTCCTTACAAAAACTTAAAAATTTGCAAAGGTGACGAAGGGGTGAGGGAGGGGGGGGGTGAAATATTGCATTTTAAAAAATTTGAATAGACCGATGGAAAGGGCATAAGATACTGTAAAACTTTTGTCTGAAATATTTTTTCATATACCTCATATTTTAGGAAATATTAAATAAAAATGAAAAAGTCCGTTTTTTTCAAGGGGTGGTTTCAACCCCTAAACCTCGAGATAAGCACATAAAAAAAAATACGTGTCTAATGTTTTTTTATGCTCTACAACATATCCAATGCTCATTAAATTCGGTGAGGGACGCCCCCGACCGTTTCCTTGTTAGTTATATATTTTGATCATTTAATATCATGTATTTTTATAAGAACTAAACAATTTTGGTCTTGTGTTGTTAGGATTACTCTATAAGCTCTTAATATTCCTAGAATATTATATGAATATTATTAAAGATTAATATAATATTCTTATAATAGTCCAAGAATATTATATAATACATAAAAATATACATACTTTCCTTCAGTTTTTGAAACAGAGAAAATATAAATATACATTATTTTTGCGATTCCACATACATAACAAAGATTAGTTGAAATAACATCATTAAAAAAAACAATATTACATACTTAAGAGTGATTGAAGGAATATGAAATTTGAAGTCTTACATGTTTTAATATATTTTGTATGAAAGTTTAAATTTTATCTTTACATCCCCTTTTTATTTAGTTAATAATGTGATTCTCTATTAAAAGGGGGAATTACATGCGGAAGGCCGTTTTTAAGGCTATTTTTACAAATTTTTTAATGGAAACGGTAGGATCAATAGATTTGAAATTTACACAGTGTATTCGTTAATATTTAAAGTATAAAATAAATTTTATTGAATCACAAGAACCGATCCACTTTGTAATTATAGATAAAAATGCAGTCATCCGTTTGCGAGTTCTGTGTTTGCTGTCGACATAATTCCGAACCTCTCACTACTCTGAAACCAAGAAATAAGAAAGATTTTAAAAATATACGGTACCAAATATACGGCAGCCCAAAATGAAGGCAATAAAGCCAAGTTTTAAAAAATAATGACTATACAAAGAAAAAAAGTATCGAAATTGAAGTTATTTTTCCACATTTAATCATGTTAAAAAAATAAATAAAATAAAATATAACTGTGTTCGAGGTTGGGGCGAAAACTACACATACACGTCTATTGTACATTGTATAAAAATTTCAAGTTATTCGGTTCAGTAGTTTTTGCGTAATCGTGTCGACAATTTAAGAAAATGTCGTTTTCAGAAAAATGCGTTTAAAAATTTATGTGTATTTTCCATATAGATAGTAACAAACTCTTTGAACTTACAATCAATCAGCTATTACAGGTGCATAAAATGAATCCTCATCTTCCTCAAAAAGTTTTCCAGAGGCCACTTTTCTCTCAAAGCTTTTGGATCTAGCCCTCTGAGTCTCAATAGAAAATTTATGCTCAGTGCGATCAATGTGTTCGTGGTCTTATTAAGGTGCAAACATTTCCGCTCTTTTGCCGATTTTCACGCCCATGACTGACAAAATTTTCAAAATAGGTGCATATCCTTCGTTAAAAATAGCAACGGCTAGAAATATCGCTATTTCCGTTGTTTTTAAGCCTACTTGTATATATTTGGTACGAAGTGCCAAATCATCGAATTGAGACTTTCGTTATTATTTTGCGTGTTTACACCCAAACATCTCGTCAGAAGGTCGTCTCTTAAGAGATCTTCGTGTATTGGCTTTATTACTTGGAGAATTTTTTCATTTAAAGACTGGTAATTGTTTTTAAAATCATCTAAAGTTCCCTGCGTCTCAACGCGTCGCTACGCACACCAGCTTGATGAACTCGGCGGACATTGCATATGCTAAGGTTGTTTGTCGCTGGAACTTTTATGAAAATAAGTGACCCAAAATTTAATTCTCATATCTTCCATCGAGTTCGGATGCCGTCTAATAACCAACACGAAATAATATTTCGTGAGATCATGGATAATTTTGCCTGTTAGGTTTCTAACTCCTTTGCCTCTGATGCTTTCATTATTTTTTTTAGCATTTCTCAATCTCGTACTCTTTCTTCTCTGTACGTGACGTCTGATCTGTTCGTCCAGATAGTAAGTGAAGAGGACCTTCGCGCGATTTACAATTAGTAACGATACTTAAGACCAGCGCGCCTTTGTATTCAAACCGCTTCTGCTTCGTCAATTTTTCGTTATCCTTCTATCTTAACACAAATATTTTCAAATGTATATATTTTAAGAAGATGCAACAAAAAAAAATGGCTAAAAAATTTCTTTTCTATGTAATTCCCCCCTTAAAGTCGCTTGTCTTTTAACAAGCGTATTATACTACGTTTTGTCAAATTTATTTCTTGTTTTAAAGTAGTTATTTCTGTTTCTAAGATCATAGACATAGTATACAGGGTGTCCTGCGTAAGACGTACGAAAAGAAAAATATAAATAGAACACATAAAACTAAACAAAAATTGTATAGGTCATTTTTCAAACAACCACGTAAAATTTCGAGATATTAATTAAAATATTTAGGCATATACGGCTCGCCGCGGCCGGCAAAAAAAATGGAAGAACGCACATGTACACGGACGCACACACGGAGCTACTCATTTCAGTATGTCAAACGATCCATTTCTGGCCTATAAGATAGGCCCGCGAGCAATCGTCCATTTTTTTCGCCGGACGCGGCGAGCCGTATGTCCCGCCTGCCGTGTCGTCGCGCTCTGATATGCTCAACTATTTTAATTAATATCTCAAAATTTTACGTGGTTGTTTGAAAAATGGCCTATATAATTTTTGTTCACTTTAATGTGTTCTACTTACATTTTTCTTTTGGTCCATCTTACGCGGGACACCCTGTATATCAGAATTACGAGAAATTAATTATTTTTTAACCAATTATTGTGTTCAATTGATAATTGATATGAGAAAACTCACTTGAAGACCGTTCAATTGGAGTTTTAACAAATTTAATCAAAGACCATTTGATTAATGATTGATTTCAATTAAAGACCGTTCAACTGATGATTGATATCAGCGGAGGGAATTAGAGGTCGTTCAATTAATAATTGAGATAAGTAAATTTAATTAAATTGAAATTAACAAATTTAATTAAAAACTGTTTGATTTTGTAGACCTCATCTTATTAGCTAAGAGTTAAATTAATAATAAAAGTACGAAAAATATAATTTTTATTAAAATTTTATTAAGTTATATTATAAAAAAAGTTATATTATAAAAAAATTATATTACTGTGTTAATCACAACATATATAAATAAAATGTAAGACGCTTATATCGATTGAAGAAGTGGCATAGTGTCTAAAACAACAGATTCATAATCTTAGAGATGCCTTAGGCAGAGTCCAAGTTCGAGTCCCGCCAGTGTCGGTGAGAATTTTTAAATGTGATGTAGCATTGGAATCAAGTAATATATAAAGTTTTTTCAAACGACCACGTAAAATTTCGAGATATTAATTAAAATAGTTGGACAAATTAGAACTCGCGACGCGACAGGCGGGACATACGGTTCGCAGCGGTCGGCGAAGAAAATGGAAGAACGCACACATACACGGGCGCACACACGGAAGCTACTCATTTCAATATGTCAAACGGCCCATCTCTCTGGCCTATAAGATAGGCCCGCGAGCAATCGTCCATTTTTTTTGCCGGACGCGGCGAGCCGTATGTCCCGCCTGCCGTGTTGCCGGGCTCTGATATGCTCAACCATTTTAATTAATATCTCGAAAC